ATATTCAGTTTATCTTGAGTTGGCAATACATGGCATAATTTTTAGTACAGAACTCATGGTAGCAGAATTCGTTGAAAATTTGTTTTAATCGGAGCTTTTCATACCCTCACGATTTATCAAAACTGGAGTGTGTATTTCTATGAAAGAGATAATCTGCAAATGGATCTTATTGCTGGGTAGGTACTGTAGAAGTATTGGGTTAGCACTACTCGGAGTGTTCGGATTACCTTGCTGAACAATGATGAACTTTTGTGGAATGTATACCACCTCATTGGGAACTCTTTTATTTGTTATATCAGGTTAGTTTTAATTGTGTTTTTTGTCTGACCGCAAGTGTAATTCTGGAGCAGCTTGATTTAGTTTTCAGTAAGCAGGAGGTTAAGCATTGTTTGGTGGAAGTAAAATGTGGAGTCTGATGGTCAGTATATAACTGTCGTAGAAGTAAGATTTAGTAATTAATGTGAATCTTTCTTTGGACAAAGGCAGCAGACAACATTGACTTACGTGAATGTCGCTTGGCTCTTCATAGAAAACAAATTTTTTTTTTATTTCTATTATATGTCGTTTTCTCCTAGGGCTTTATTCAAGAGATTTCAGATGAAGCGTGTTTGCTAGTTCCAGGTGCGAATATAGGATGTTCGCAGAATGATCAATGTTTTCATAACGGACATCGAAATTTAATGTGTGGTCGACGTTATTTTATATCATATCATTGTTCTTAATATCTTAGTTTTTTTCTAATGTTTAGCGAGAAAAGTTGATGCACCTTCGCTGATTATCAGTTTGATTATAAAATATTTTGTTCTTATCATTACCTCCAGATTTAATTAAATTTTAAACGAAGGTGTTGAAGCGTTGCTGGTTGGGGGACTTCTTTCTTTCTGTCTTACCTACCGCTTCTTACAGTCTGATCTGTTTGCTATATTTTTTCTTCGGTTTAAAAGTTTTTTTCAATAACTATTAATAGTTTTTTTGACGTGAAAAGTACAAGTTTCTGGTAAAAATAAGTAGTGGACGCCGTATTTTTGAGATTGTTTTACTGTAGCGATGCTCATTATCACTGCATTACTGTCTGCTGCCGTTCACTTTCAAAGAAGAATTCCCTTTTCATTATCGTAATGAGAACCTATAGGATTTGAGTGGTGGTGATTAACTTTTTTAATTCTTTTTGCATGTGGAGGTGATCGCATTGTTTGAAGAACTTTGAATGCTAAGGTAGTTTGTATAAGTAATGAGTTGACAAAAGGTTTCAATTTTCAACATCACTGTTTCTTTTGCTTTTTGGGTTTTATTAACAGTATTAGGGGCTTTTCAAGAAAAAGAGAGCTCTTTTGATAGTTTTTTAGTTTCCTTCCTTGTCATCGAATGTAAGGAACAGGATGGAGTCAATGCAGATGGATTCCTGATTAAGTGCTTTGATTCTTCCGACAAATGCCTGAGTGAGTGCGTTTTTACTTGCACTCTTGTTGATCACTGCAAGGGGTCTGAGAAGTCAATGGTCGCTTGTACTCCAAGTGTATGGCTGTAAGTCGTTTATTTTTCCGCTTTTTTCTTCAGTCTTTTTTTCTTCTCTAAGTATTTAGAGGAAGTCCTAATGGTGAGTGATGTCGCTTAAGCTTTACATTTTTCCTGCTTTATAAGCTTACTGTTACTAAATAAAGATTCTTCTGCAGCATACTCGCAATCATTTCACTAATAACTCTGCTGAGTGCAATCGCATGCTGTTTATGTTGTCTTTGCGCTCCATTTTGTGTATGTTACCGGTTCTGTCGTAATAAGAGAAGGCAGTCTTGTAATGTAAGTTGACCGTTTAAGCTTCTTTTCTTAACCTATCATTTAGAAGAAAGTTTGAACTTTTCTTTGGCGCCGATTCGTAATTTATACTTCGTTTCTTTCATTTTAGGCTGGAAATGACATGTTAATGGGTTGAGTGGTCTATTTCAAGCAGCGTTTGGTTCCATGTTTATTTTAATTTGAACAACACTGACAGATCGCTTATTGCGGATTTTGAGCCTAAATTCTTGCTTTGGAATGTTGCTTATCTGCTGTGCTGTGTTATATTTGTCTAGTTGCGGGATGCTACCTTTCTTATTAACGGATTTCTTACAGAAGTGCTGACAGTACATTAGCTCAATGCTTTTTCAATTTGTACTCGCAATTAAACAAGCTTGAAGCTTTTCACCAAAGGATAATTTGTGAAAGAGTGGATTAAATTAATAATTATTTTGAGTTTTGTTTCAAAGGCTTTAGAGGTGTTAAGGAAATGAAGGAATAAAAGACTGGAATAGCTGTCTTTTTCTAATTTTTCTGCATTATATCGTCTTCGTTTTTAATGATAGTGCTTGGTTGAAGCGCATTTGGCTGACTGAATGTATGGCAGATAACTGGACGAGGTGGTTCAAGTGTCAATTTTTTTGCAAACTCAGCCTTTACAAATTTGTAAAAGTGGTTTAGTTGGGAACGTCTTCTTTATTAAGACCTTGAAGCCATTAAAAAGTTGTGATTTTGATATCATTCCATACCCTAAGTACCTGTCGACCGGTGTATATGATTCTACTACGTTTGTTACCAGATAGGAATTTCACTCATAGTATGCTAGTTATTCCTTCGTTAGTTAGGAAAGGTCGGTTTTCACCATTTTGTCGTGAAGTTATATTATTTCTTAATTGGAAAGAGAAAACAGCAGTAAAATTTATGGAAAAGAACTATCAAAAACCTGAGGAACGAAACAGCATTGGTTATAATTGGGCAAGCTCTTATGCTTTTCTTTGACGCTGTTTAGTTCCACGTGAGTTATTTTCTTGTTATATCATTGTCTGAGAAAAAAAATATTTCCTCAATAAGGCTGCTGTACTACAACTACTTAGCAGTTAATTAAGGTATTGACTGCGCGTAAGGAAGATGTATGGTAAATTAATCAACCGATTATATAGCCGACTAGCCTCATTGAGCCTTTCTCCAAGAATGTGGTTCAGAACGTTTACTGTAGGCTTCAAAATCATGTTGTCAACTTCGAACATCCATCCAAGTTTCTCACCGCCAGAAAAGTCGACAGAAGTGTTTTAGAAACAGCGTAGAGAATTGAAAAATAAAAGATTATGAAAAAAGCAGTTTTTAGATGAAGAGTAATATGATGCATGTTTACATTTTGCATATTTGATATGCTAATTAGCAAGTAAAACAGCTTACCAATTTGTCTACTACTTTTATTTAAAGGAGAGGGAGATCTCTCAAATAATTATTGTTTCTGTTCGTCAACGGGCAGCCTGTTTAGCTTACTGTCTTCTAATATTTTGAGTGGGGATGAAAGTTCCTCGGCAGCTTATACAGTCAACAAGTAGCTTGGATGGAACTTCAATAAATTCATCAAATTGTGCCAGTTTCAGTTTGGAATTGGCTAAGTGTCGCTGTGAGTCGTTATGGACAAATGAATTACATGGCTTGACACAGTTTGCTACCGTAACTTTTTGCCTGTTATAGTTTTAAAGTTTTTTTCTATTAAATGTCGCTTTTAAACATTTGGTTTCTTGTGCAGAAGGAATAAGAAATTTTTATTTGATAGCATATTAGTTGCAGAGTAAATCGATTAAAGGAAAATTTTTCTGGCTTTTTATACTTTTGTTTTGTTTTTGCTTTGCTGTGTGGAACACAATACAAATGTTAAACGATTACATTGAAAATGAAACCACTACGCTGATTACTGTGCGACAGGTTTGTTTTGCGTAAATAGCACTCAAGTTTCTTAGTGCAGTTGGTATTCGCCTATTTTCTGCAACCGTAAATTTGTAATTACCTTCAGAGGGACCTTAATTTGTACGTCTCACCGTTTAATAAGTGAGATTTTAAGGTTGATCGACTGCAGTTTCCATCGTTAGTGATATGTCCAAAAAATGCAGATGCTATACACATTGAAGGTGTACTAGATGATTTAGCAAGGCACGTGCATGGCCTGGACAGAATTGTTGCCTTAGACGTTCTTCGTTTTGCTATAGCTGGATTCGGCTTTGCTAATTTTGAAGAGGGTAAGCGGTTCATTTGAATAATTTACTTCTGCTTTGTCAAGTTTTGACTTAGTGGAATATGCTAACTAGAACGGATGACACGGAAGAACAAGCTGACAATGTATAGAAAGAAATTGTGATTAGAGAAAACTTTTGATCTGTGAATTATTAAGATATTCAAAAATGGAATGACGAAACAGTTGACAACCTGGGAAATTATTATTACATGTGGAGGGATAACCGTACTGAGGAGGAAATGTTTCATTTGATATTTGAACATTATGGCTACACTTGCGAAGAGGTCAAGATTTTTTTATTACCTCAATGTATTCAATTTGGATCAACAGACTGCTTACTTTGATTGTTAATATTTAAGGTTTTTTATCAATGTTATCAGAGTGGAGTGGTACTGAATTGTTGTGATTTCTTTTACTTTACTTATGTGATGCTTCGAGCTCGATGTCTTCGCCTTGGGACTGTGTTTCAGAATGACAATGAGGAAGTGGCTAAATTGAGTATATCTTTTCGAAATATCCCAAGTCCATTATGTTCTAAGACGTTTCACCAGGTAATATTTGTCGGTGTATATATTGCTTGAAAACTGACTCATGCATTTTTTTTAAAAATTATTTATAATTTTTTATTTGTCAACAAAATATACTTTGGCGAGTAAATGACAGCTCAGAATATATGTAAAAGTGTTATCATTTGAGGTCTACGACAAGTGTTATCAAAGTTACCGAAACTGTGGGTAGTAACTTTGAAGTTTGGTAAAACTTGCTTTCTTCAATATGAACTAGATTAGCTTTCAAGTTATTAGACATTTTTGAAATTTCATTTTAGGATTAACTAGAGCAGTGATTTACGCCAGGGCTGTGTGCATAGCCTTAGCTAGCCGGAATTATGAGGGTCAAAAAGTGTGGGATTGAAGAGTAGTTCTTGAAGAATTAAAAATGGCAAAAAAGTGATTGAAAAACCTCGACCACGGAAAGCTGTCGGAAAAAATTGTGTATACGTCTTAGTTAGACATTTTGGTGCCACCTTTTTGCCTATAAGACTGTTCCTAAAGTCACAGGTAGCAAACGATTACTGAATAGGATAATTTCTTTAAAACTGATGTGCTCACTTCGTGCTATTTCCTTTTGCAGGAGTGGTAAGTGTGAAAGCGTGCAGAGCAGAAGTTTTTTTTTTCTGTGCTATTTAAACAAGTTCTTTGGAAGAAAGCATAAAGACTGGTATAAGAAATAAACAAAATATAGTATTCTGTAACTTTTTACAACAATTTTGCAAAAACTTTTTAATGCAAGAAATGGCATCCATTTTGGTATTTTGTATGTATAGTTTTAGATTTGTAACAGGTCTGTTATTCGTGAAATATAAGTGAAGTGAAGTGATTTTAAAAAAAGGCATTTGCTGTAATTAAAAATGATAAAAATTAAGCCACAGTTGTCAATCTATATAAATGACCATCACGAAGATGTTTGGCTGAATCCTCGATATTATATAAACGCGTATGATTGGAACCGGATGCGGTTTCGGATTCGAAGAAAGCAACTGCTAGAGTCAAATGTAAACTGCAGGGTCCCCGAAGCTCGAGAAGGTTCAAATAGAAAAATTTTTACGATTTGTTTTAATAAACTGTTTTCTGCACTTTCTTTTAAAAAATGGTTTTCAAAGCTTTTTCTAACAATTTAGGGACGGGAACATGTGCGATTGAACGTTGGCTTGATGAGACTGTAGTCAAATCGTTGAATTGTACTTTCTGTTACTTGCAGGTCTGATTAGTCCTACAAACGTTTTAGAAAAAGGCGACAGATTTTTGAAAATCTTAATTCATTTTAAGTTGTGATTATATTTTGTAGGAACACCATCCAAATGTTACACTGTGCGACCCTCGGACAGTTATCTACAATTACGACAAAGTGATTCTCACTCCGTCAAGTGAATTTCGAGTACGTTTCACATAGTAATTTTTCACGGTATAGGAAAACTCTGAGCAAAAGTTTGTTGATGGTGCTGCTTCGGTATTTTAGTAGCTAGGGTTTGTAGTGTCTTCCGGCTTGCTATCGCAATGAGGTCACAATACAGTTATACAGTTCGTTATCTATGTTCAGCAGTGATGATCCGCGAGTTTTTATGCTTGAGTCGTCATTTGGCGAATTACAGGTTCCAAATTTCTTACCTGGCTGTGGATGCACGTTTTCAGGAATTTTTCTTTTGTCCTGTCAAGTTTTTAAAATACTACATTGTTGTTTAGTTTGAAGAATATAAGGAGGTGGTTCGAACGACTCTGCCAGGTTTTGTGTCACAGATTGGAGGTCAAGGAGGCTTGTTTCTTGGCGCATCTGTAGTCACTTTTGTGCAACTCTTTATCAGTTTTGCGAATTATTTTTATGAAAGAACTAGAAGATTTTTATTAAAACTGAAACAACAATAATGGCATTGTAGACTAATTCCTTCTTTTTTGATTTATTATTGCCTGTGTTGGTGTAATAGTCAACAGTGCTGGCTGGGTGGTGGATGTTAGTTTCGTGTATTATAGATGGCAAGAAATGTTGTATACTATTTCATATTCTGTGTCTAATGTTATTTTTCTCAAAGACTTGTGTAGTCTAAAAAGTTTTTGGCAGATTATGTGCTATCTTATAGCTGTTCAAAATAAAGTTGATCTTTTAACGTTTGGAAGTTTTTAACAGTTTAACAGCTATTTTTCAAGGTGTACGTTGTATTTTTAATAGAATGAACCTTTTAAATCTTGAAAAATGCACTTGCTTCTAATTGGTTTACTCTCTTTTTGCTGTCGTTATGATCACATTTTTACAGAAAATTTCTCAGCCAAACTTTGTAGAAGTTCTTTGGAAACCATACTTATATTTATTGCCTGATAAATGTCAAATTTGTAAAATCTTAAATAATCTTTATTAGTCTGAAACTTTTTTTTTTAGAAATCAGTTTTCGATTGATTCATAAAATCTCTCGACCTTACGTTCACAGTTACAAATATAGAGTGCTGTAGTTGTCAATAAAAATTCACTTGACTGTCATTGAAACAAGCTTTAAAAATTTGCACTTCACAGCACTTACTATCGGTCTGTTTAACTAGTTGAAATTTTTGGAAAAAAAGTTTTTGCTTTATGATACTTTTCGTTTTTCTTTTATTTGTCGTCTTCTGGTTTGTACAGTATCACTGGTTTGGAGAAGAAAAGATCCGTTCTAAAAAACGATCATAACAGTGTTGTATCGGCATCAAAATATTCTGTTAGCGACTTTTCAGTCTGATCATCACAACCATCTTCTAATTTTAGTGCATTAATAATTATATCAGAGTTGTCAATTGAATTTGTTGTGTCACAGAATGCGACATTCTTCTTTTTCACCTCGTCTGGGCTCAGTGATGACTTTCGACTAGTTTCCGTCAGTGATTTGACTTTTGATTCGATATATATCTGAATATATAATTTTTGTGCACTTTATTTCTACGTTTGCTTTTCTGGTCGTTGAGTTACCTTATCATTATTTGAAGCTATACTGGGACTTTGCGTTGAACTTGGTGTGATCATTATCATATCGCGAGACTGCATTGTATTACGTCGAAATTTAGCTCTAGCGTTCTGAAACCAAACCTGAAAAATGATATCAATTCGAGTAGAATGTATTGAGTGTTTAAATTTTTGAAAGTATTAAAAAAATATTATAGAATTTGTGGAAAAATAATCAAGATTTTTAGCGCAGAGTTGGTTGTTTAGCATGAAACATTAGCACACGAATAAAATCAGAGAATTATCAATTCTAACTTGCAAAACCCTCTTGGTCAATCCAGTTCGTTGAGCAAGTTGTTTAAGGTCTTTTGCATCTGGATTATGATTCAGATTAAAATAGCTTTTCATTGTTCGAAGCTGATGATGCTTGAAACTTGTCCGCATTCGTTTCGATTTATGCGTTTGAATTTGATTTTCTTCCTCGCAAAATTCTGCAAAAGGAAGTGAAATTGCCAAATTTTTTTTTTTCAAGTAATGTTTTTGCACAAGAGGATGCACTTAATTATAAATAAAGTCAAAAAGTGTAAATTAATATTAAAATTTTTCAAAGAATTACGATTACTGTAAATTTAAATTTTCTTTGTTAATAAAGTAGAGCAAAAAAGTCTTCCAGTTATATAGTTTATTAAATGGAGGCATTGTTTTGGAAAAGAAAAGGAAATTTTTTTCTGTTTTCAGTAACTTTTTGTCATTTACTTCAGAGGTAAAGAAGGCAAAATAAACAGGAGAAGAACCAACGGGAGGTTGGTTAGGGCGGTGAAGGGATAGCCAGAGCAGTGCCGCGGGGATAGGGCAAGTAGAATGTTTGTCCTGTCTCATTTCAACGTCTCTCAAATCTCTGCGTTCTGTGAACCAGCAAAAAACTGTTCAGCAGCAAAAAAAATTATTGTTTGCTGCTTTTCGCAAGTCAGAACTAGAAATTTTGAGACGTATGGAAGGAAAAAGAACAAAGAAGCAAGGTTTGTTAAATGTTTAATCTGAAAATAAACTATGACAAAAATCTTTTCTCCTTCCTTTCGTATTGTGTTACACGCCAAAAATGTAACTGAAAATTTGTACAGCTGATTAACAGCATTTAAATGCTTAAAGCAACAAAACCAACAGCAGCAACAACGATAATATTTTGGTTAGCACCATCATCATCACCACCACCACCACCGCCACCGCAACAGCAAAGCAACAACAGCGACAAAAACAACAACGGCAGTGGGTGTCAGAGGAACATATTTACAAACAAAAAAAGGTACATATATTTATTTATTTGCATAAGGCATGGGTCTCTGAGCTTAAGACACTCCATCTTAATGATGTAAAACAAGAAGCGCTGCTAACAATAATTAATATTTCATATCGACGTGTTACTGTCGTTTGTCGATATTGTTGTTGCTTATTTTGTTGTCGTCAATCAGTGTCTGTTTCAAGTTTTTTTTTCTTTTTTTTTTTTTT